TACTCTAAGACCTCTAAACCTACAGATAATCATCCTAGATTAAGAATTAATAAGAATTAATAGATTAAATATTAAATCCCCTTTAATAATGTTTATTTACATACTTAAAATATAAATTAAGTAATTACCCTAAAATATCTACATTATGACATTTATTATAACAAAAAAAGAGATAAAGATGAGGAATAAAAAGAAGAGAAGAAGATTGAATGAAATACCTCTTGAACAAGCTTTATTGAATCTTTAAATATGAAAAAGGTGCTTTGTGGTGACCTTTCACACTACAGTATGCCTCACAGATCTCAAGAAATACAATAAGAGAGAGAGAATATAGAGATGCGACACAAATCTCAAGAAATATAATAAAAGGGAGAGAGATAGAGAATTTTCGTGCTCAAAGGAGTCTTATTCAAAATTTCTCTGGCCGCCAGGAGAACTGTGCCCAAGGCTCTAATTTATAGGAATCAAATGTGGCCCGGAACGGGTCATTTCGATTTAGAAACGGCCCGTTCTGGGTTTGAATTTTACTTACACAAAGCTGTTCTGGAACGGCCCATTCCAAACTAAGGGAACAGCCCATTCCAGTTTTAGAACGACCCGTTCTAGGCAAGATTGTTATAGGTAAAGTAAGAATTTGGAACGGCCCGTTCATAAAGTCGAACGGCCCGTTCTGGGTGCAAATCTTGCTCATAACAACCGCTTTTGGAACGACCCGTTCCATTTTGGGAACAGCCCGTTCTGGTCTTGGAACAGCCCATTTTGGGCTATCAAACATAGTTGATTTTGGGTCCTCTGATGTCCTATCTTGTTGTTTGTATGCCCACGGATGAAATTGGGTGTCTACAGCTGCCCCTCTTTACTTGTCCTTTGGAATAGCTGTGTTGCTTTTCCAAAGGCAAGTAAAGACGTAGACATTTCATCTGGGTCTTCTTCTCATCTCTGTGTTGATGCTTCTACATTGCTTCCCTTGGATATATGATGTGAATCAAGAAGAAGCAATAATGGACTAGGAATTTAAGTAGTTTGGGACTGAATAATTAATAAGTTCATTATCTTATTTTTAATGTAATTTTCGTTTTATTTTATTTTATTAAATAAATATGATAGGTTGCCTTGCCTTTTAGGTTGCTAAGGGGAAATAAATGCTAGTGGGAATTTATTGCTTAGTTAGTGGGCTAGTGAAGAGTCAATATTAAGTGTTAGTGGGAATTTATGTCATCTTGCCCATCTAAGCTTATAAATAGGAACCATTTGTAAAAGTTTGGGGAGAAAATGAATTATTCAGAATTTGGATATTTTTCCAATTGAGAGGATTTTCTCTCTCTAGGTTCTTAGGAACTACTTTTGATTCTTATCCTTGAATTTCCTAATTCAAAGTGGCGAATCTTCCTCAACTTATCAATCTTTAGGGATTGTGGCGTTGTTCTTCCATTTCTTACCTCAATCCATATTTTTTTCTTTTAATTTCTTAATTATGAGCTTTCCAACCTAGATAGATCCGTAAAACGAATCCATCCCTCTGGGTTCATATCAATATATGTACTTGCTCGTGTCCTCGCCCTTTAGAGCAGTTGAGTGTTGGTTGCATACTCTATTGGGTAACAAGGCTGACGAACCGTACTCCTGATCTTCAAGTAGATGCTTCATTTTTTCTCTTGTGATAGTGCGTTCTTTTATTTGTAGCTTGTTGAAGAGCGAGTTATTTCGTAGCTCAGCTTCCCTCACGGCTTTGTCGTATCCCGGATTGGGAGATGTCTATAGTCTCTCTAGACCTTTCCCTCACGGCTTTGTCGTATACTGGATTGGGAGGCGAGTACAGTCTCTCCAGACCTTTCCCTCACGTCTTTGTCGTATACCAGATTGGGATGCGAGTACAGTCTCTCCAGACCTTTCCCTCACAGCTTTGTCGTATACCGGATTGGGAGGTGAGTATAGTCTCTCCAGACCTTTCCCTCACGGCTTTGTTGTATACCAAATTGGGATGCGAGTACAGTCTCTCCAGACCTTTCCCTCATGGCTTTGTCGTATACCAGATTGGGATGTGAGTACAGTCTCTCCAGACCTTTCATTCACGACTTTGTCATATACCAAATTAGGAGGTGAGTATAGTCTCTCCAGACTTTTCCCTTACGGCTTTGTCGTATACTGGATTGGGATGTGAGTACAGTCTCTCCAAACCTTTGTTGTATTTTAAGGAAACTATCGGTGCCCTCATTGGTTTGCTTGAATTTTGGGGTGTAGTTGTGGACTGGGAGTTCTTCAGGCGAATGTTCTTGGAGAAGTATTTCCCTGAGAGTGTGAGACATGCCAAGGAAGCTGAGTTCATGCGCTTACATCAAGGAGGGATGACCGTTTCGGAATATGCGATGAAATTCGAGCACCTAGCTCGTTTTTATTCGCAAGGCATCGCCGAGGCTTGGAAGTGTCGGAAGTTTGCGGAGGGATTGAAATATGATCTGAGGAGAGTGGTGGTGCCTATGGCCATCACTGAATTTCCAGCCTTGGTGGAGAAGGCAAAGGTGGTTGAGCGGTTGGAAGGTGGTAATCGCGGGGTGAAGATTTCTGAGGGGCCATCCAGGTCCAAGAAAGGGGGGAGCCAGAGGAAGCCATATGATAGGCCCCAACCACATCAAGGGGGTCCTGTCATCAGGCAACCTGCTGGTGCTGCTGCTGGTGGAGGACAGGGTGGAAGTGCTTCCCTGAGATGTTACAAGTGTGGTGGGTCCCATATGATCAGGGATTGTCCCCACACAGAGAATCGGTGTTTCAGATGCCAACAGATGGGCCATGTATCATTCAACTGCCCTGCCAGGGCCAGACCAGAGAGGAGTGCTCAGAGGAGTGATGCTAAGAGGGGAGATGCTCAGAGGGGCGGCAGACCCACCACAGCTGGTAAGGTCTTTGCTTTGACTGGTGCTGAGGCTTCGACTTCTTCGGATCTGGTGAAGGGAAAGGGCAGAGCTGCTGGTAAGGATGTGGTATTTTTGTTTGATTCTGGAGCTTCCCACTCTTTTATCTCTTATGCTTGTGTTGCTATGCTGGATGTACCTGTGTGTGACAGTACGGCCGTATTGGTTTCAGTACGGCCGTATTGTAGTTCAAAATGATCAGTACGGCCGTACTGAACTTCTAGGAGGCCGTATTGAGCTCCAATCCTCCCACTTCCTTATTTCAAGCTACTCTAAGACCTCTAAACCTACAGATAATCATCCTAGATTAAGAATTAATAAGAATTAATAGATTAAATATTAAATCCCCTTTAATAATGTTTATTTACATACTTAAAATATAAATTAAGTAATTACCCTAAAATATCTACATTATGACATTTATTATAACAAAAAAAGAGATAAAGATGAGGAATAAAAAGAAGAGAAGAAGATTGAATGAAATACCTCTTGAACAAGCTTTATTGAATCTTTAAATATGAAAAAGGTGCTTTGTGGTGACCTTTCACACTACAGTATGCCTCACAGATCTCAAGAAATACAATAAGAGAGAGAGAATATAGAGATGCGACACAAATCTCAAGAAATATAATAAAAGGGAGAGAGATAGAGAATTTTCGTGCTCAAAGGAGTCTTATTCAAAATTTCTCTGGCCGCCAGGAGAACTGTGCCCAAGGCTCTAATTTATAGGAATCAAATGTGGCCCGGAACGGGTCATTTCGATTTAGAAACGGCCCGTTCTGGGTTTGAATTTTACTTACACAAAGCTGTTCTGGAACGGCCCATTCCAAACTAAGGGAACAGCCCATTCCAGTTTTAGAACGACCCGTTCTAGGCAAGATTGTTATAGGTAAAGTAAGAATTTGGAACGGCCCGTTCATAAAGTCGAACGGCCCGTTCTGGGTGCAAATCTTGCTCATAACAACCTCTTTTGGAACGACCCGTTCCATTTTGGGAACAGCCCGTTCTGGTCTTGGAACAGCCCATTTTGGGCTATCAAACATAGTTGATTTTGGGTCCTCTGATGTCCTATCTTGTTGTTTGTATGCCCACGGATGAAATTGGGTGTCTACAGCTGCCCCTCTTTACTTGTCCTTTGGAATAGCTGTGTTGCTTTTCCAAAGGCAAGTAAAGACGTAGACATTTCATCTGGGTCTTCTTCTCATCTCTGTTATTTTTTATTTTTATTTTTATTGTGTTTTAAGCCATTGTTTCTAATGACGTCCTTATTTTAAATGTATTTGTTCATTTAAGGTTTGTTGACGAAGCTTAGAGTAGATAAAAGGGAGAAGAGAAATGAAGTAGAAAAGGGTATGGCATTAAAATAGAATTTTCAATTTACACGTGCCCATTTAATGTAGCTTGAGGGTCCGGGCATGCCCCAAGTTTGTGATTCATACACAAAGAAAAAGAAGGAGGTTGCCCCTTAGAGAGGCCTAATTCATCTAACTATAGAGCTAGTCCTCTTCTTGCATGGATGTGGCGCTTCAAAAGATCTCGTGTAGAGGGAGGGCACTTTAGAAGATCCCGTATAAAGGGAGGTCCTTTGGTTTCTTCTCTCGTAAAGGTATTTTTAACCCATATCCTGAGTCTTTCCTAAGAAGAAGGAATGGATAGAAGCGATGATAGAGCTTTCCATGGAGTCTTGCTTCTCAAGAGGAACATTCAAGCGGTCTCTTGATTTTCAGCTTGAACAATCATTGCTTCTCAATTTTATTTTATTTTTAGAATGCCCATTGCGAGTTTTCATTCTAGCAGCTTTTTAACAAGCAATGCTTCTCTCTTGTTACAATCATCTTTCAAGAAAGCTCTATTCATTGACTCAATGTTTGAGGGATTCTTCCTCCTCAAGTTCTATTCGGCTTGGATTTCATGGTTGTAAGACACAGCTTTATCCTTTTAAGGCAAGAGTTAGCATCTTGATGATTGTGGATTTCTTTACCCTAAACTCTTTATGCATGGCTTATTTTCCATTATGTTTGACTAACGCACATAGGTCAATTTCCTTTTTTATTCTCATTTATTATTTTACAAGGAGGGATATGTTCTAAATGAATGTAATGCAAACATATAGAGAAAGTTAAGAATAATAAATATCAGTCTCATTGATTTGTTTATTTGTGAATGCTCAAATAGATTTTGACAATATTGAGCGAAAGACTTACTTCAACAGACACATCAATGCAATAGCCCAACCATAGTATATATATTTTTTTAAATTAATTTGGGTTTTTCTTTAAAGCACAGATATTGTCGCATATTAGAGCATTCACTTTTCTTAACTTTCTATACGTATTGCAACCTAATCCCCCTTAGCTAATAAAATAAAATGAATGAAATTAATGAGCTAATCTAGAATGCATGTCATTTTTTTTTGCCTAATCTTTATCATGTTTTTATTATCTAAAGAGAAATGATGCATGGTAAAGATGAGATTTCTTTTATTCATTTTTTTAAAAAAAAATTATCTATATGATGTTAATGGAATGATGACCTAAGAGCGTACAAAAGGGTATAAAATTTTATTATTATTATTATTATTATTATATTTTTTATTATCTGTTTGCTTATTTTAAAATTCCAATCCACTCTTATTAGAAAGAATAATACAAACAAATGCACACACACATGCTCAATCAATATACACCCACGAATGATCGTATTCAAATCCTTGGTTTGTGGTCCCTGTAAGAAAAGTGCATTGTATAGGACGGTTCTAATCTCACTGGTTCTCAAGGCTCCCTAGGTGCCCCCATTATAGGGACCCAGTATCTCTATTGCCGTCACCTGGCAAACTCTAAGGTCTGTCGCAGTATTTTGGGCTAGAGTAACCGGTTATCACCTTGAGTGTGATTTCCGACAAGGCTCACAGGCTCCAAGGCCAAACTTGGGCCAGTCGTACGTCAACCACTCCCTATGTTTAATACCCTCATGCCCCCGGGTGTAGGGGGAACTGTTGTGTGCAAAGGATTGTGTACGATTTAATTCAAACAGGTGCAGAATTTAAACAAGCAAATAGATATGCAAGCAAAACAAATAAAAAACAAAGTACAGGGGAAAAATATTTAAATTATTATTCCTATTTTACTAACTTCATCATTTATTGGGCCTGACCCTCTTAAACTTCCCCGGCAGAGTCGCCATCTGTCGCAACCCGAAAATTTCCAATCTTACGACTTATGGTTTAAACATCCTTTTAAAAGTCTCATCAATTAAGGAATGCCCGGACACCAGACTAGTCCTTAATTAATGGTTTTGAAAATAGGTTCATGGAGTCGCCACCAATATTTTACTCAAAATATTGGAAAAAGAAAAGGTTTTTAAAGATCCAATAATGGCCTTGATAACCAGAATTAGGTTCGGGGGTGGAAGGTATTAAGCACGCCTACAACGCCCTAAATCGGTACCCTATGATGAAGATAACGTAATAAGAATTAATAGATTAATTATTAAATCCCCTTTAATAATGTTTATTTACATACTTAAAATATAAATTAAGCGATTACCCTAAAATATCTACATTATGACGTTTATTATAACAAAAAAAGAGATAAAGATGAGGAATAAAAAGAAGAGAAGAAGATTGAATGAAATACCTCTTGAACAAGCTTTATTGAATCTTCAAATATGAAAAAGGTGCTTTGTGGCGACCTTTCACACTACAGTATGCCTCACAGATCTCAAGAAATACAATAAGAGAGAGAGAATATAGAGATGCGACACAAATCTCAAGAAATATAATAAAAGAGAGAGAGATAGAGAATTTTCGTGCTTAAAGGAGTCTTATTCGAAATTTCTCTGACCGCCAGGAGAACTGTGCCCAAGGCTCCAATTTATAGGAATCAGATGTGGCCTAGAACGGCCCATTCCGATTTCGAAACGGCCCGTTCTGGGCTATTCCGTTGTGGGTGAAATAAGAAACTGGAACGGCCCGTTCCAAAGGTGGAACAGCCCGTTCTGGGTTCGAATTTTACTTACACAAAGCTGTTCTGGAACGGCTCGTTCCAAACTAGGGGAACGGCCCGTTCCAGTTTTAGAACGGCCCGTTCTAGGCAAGATTGTTATAGGTAAAGTAAGAATTTGGAACGGCCCGTTCATAAAGTCGAACGGCCCGTTCTGGGTGCAAATCTTGCTCATAACAACCTCTTTTGGAATGGCCCGTTCCGTTTTGGGAAAAGCCCGTTCTGGTCTTGGAACAGCCCATTTTGGGCTATCAGAAATAGTTGATTTTGGGTCCTTTGATGTCTTATCTTGTTGTTTGTATGCCCCTAGATGAAATTGGGTGTCTATAATGCATAGCAGAGAGGTTGACTCCAGGTGCGAGCAGCCTCGCCTGACGAGTTGCCTTGACGAAGCCTCTCTTATGCTCGAGCAAGACAGCTTGCTCGGTCTCAGCAAGCTTCCTCTCCAGCTCTACCTTGTCATCAGCCATCTAACCAAGGTCCACCTTCAGCACCGTGACCTCCTCCTCCTTGTCGCTCAAAAGCACCTCGTCACAGAGATGCTTCTTAGCAGCTTGCCCCATTTCGGCCTTCAGCGCTTAGACCTCGTCTTCAAGAGAACGCACTCTACCCCAAGAAAAAGTGGAGAGCTCCTGAAGCTCGCCAACCTGAGCGGTGTAGACTTTATTAGCCTTCAAGGTGATCTCCAAAGACTTCTGGACCCTCGCGAGATCTCTCCTCGTGGCTTGAAGCTCGGCCTCGTTCTACCTCTTATCCTCCCCTAGGGCGGCCCTCAACGCTTGATTCTCCTCTTCTAGAGGCTGGACTCATCCCTTCATCTTCTCGAGGTCCTCTGCTTCTTGGACCACCTGTGCTTCTAGTGGTCCACAATAGCCATCGCCCTCTGCATAAAGACCTCAGTAGAATCAAGGCCCTCCACTGGCCTGGCCTTCTCGATCATAGCCTGATTAGTCGAGCACAGCGAACCCTTGGGGTAGAAGGTATCTGCAGTCACCCTTGCACTCCACAATGAATCTATATCTGCTGAGGCGCTCACGTGATCCAACCGTGATAGAGGACGATCCTTCTCAAAGCGTTGAGTGATGTATTTGCTCTTGGGGGCCCCCTTTGAAGGCCGAGATGGCGGCGTAGTGGCTGCCGGGTTAGGCGACCAAACCTCAGAGCTCAGCCCCTTTTTGCGGACCATGACAGAAGTAGAAGCAGGCGTCGCCTGCGCAGCAATGGGGGCATTCACCTCTGGCGCCTCCGAGCTCGGCGCCACCCGTACCTCGACAGCATTTGGCTCAGGCACCACCTACAAAAGACAGAAATTTTCTCCTAAGTCACAAAACAAGAAAATAGATAGTATAGAAGTAAAATCACAAGGAAAGGCACAAACCTCGGCGGCATAGACAACCTCCTAAGCGGCAACTTGGGAAACTCCCTCAGGTGGAGGACTCCCAGTAAGGTCGACTGCGTCAGAGTCAGCAACCTTCGAACTCACCTCCTCCGCATCTCGAGGGGCAGAGGTCCCCCTGACCTCCTTTTCTTCCCTCTTTCTTTTTCTCCGGGTCTCCAAGGGGGAAATCTCCTCCTCTTGAGGCTCAAGGACCTCGATCTCGGCAACGTTATACTGAGACTTCAGTTTGTACCACTTGTTTTTGCCCATTATGCCTGCAAATACAAGAGTCAGATACGTTAGTAAAAGAAAATTTTACGAACTTTGACGACTAAAAAAGATGAGATACTCACTCTCTAGACCCCTCTCCTTGTACGCCGAGTTAGCAAGCGACAAAATGAGCTTGCAATCCAAGGGACGAGGAAGCGCTTCTAGGTCTTTAATGGTAGCAGCGTCCTAGTCCATCAGTTGAAGGTTGGTCGACCCGTTAAACCTGACCGAAGCCTGTTGCCAGTAAAGAGGGAACCTCAGCAACCCGCCAAAGTGGAACACCTCATCTTCCAGGGGGTCGAGCTCCTTGGGAAGAACCCGGAAGAACTCTTGTTTAAAATTCTTGTAAGACTGGGAGTAAAGAGAAAACAGCCCCCCAGCCTTACTCCCATTCAAAGACACCCAGCCATAGGGGGGCACGCCCAATTTCAGCTGGTAAAAATGAAGAAAAATAGGAAGCGATAACCTTATCCCTAGGGTCGAGCACAGGACCTGAAAAGTCCTCAAAAAACCCCAACTATTGGGTGCAACTAGCAAGGAGCCGAGTTGACGAAGTTCAAAAAATTGCATTCAAACTGCGTAAAGGGAAGGCATACGCCCAAATCCTTAAAGAAACACTGGAACATGCAGAAAAAAAGGAGGATTAGATGTACCCCCCATATATACACGCTCGCCCGGCTGACAAGGTTCAAGCCGGATGAGCTTAGAGATGGAAGATTGGCAGATCTTGTGCGATCTCCACATCGCATTGATCTCCAAGAAAGATCTAAAGACGTTCTAGAACTCGTCGACGTCACCCCTGACCCACTTGTAGCCAGAAATGACAGGGAAAGGGTCCCTAGGTTGGTTCCCCCCTTTTTCTTTTCGGCGGCGGCCGTCTCGACGGCCACCGCCTTGCCACATGCCTTGCCTTTACCCCTGGCCAGCATGGACGGAGCAGCACCACTGTTACCATCCATCGAAAATGAAAAGATTGGAGAAAGGGAGAAAGACAAAGAAGACTGGTAGGGGGAAGAGTGGAAAGTAAAGACAGAGAAAATGAAATACCTGGTACTGCTTTGGTATCGACCTTAACAACGATGGAATTGCCAGAAACGGCAACGACAAAGGCAAACGGAGATGGTGGAAGGAGAAATGCGAAAATCGGCGTGCACAAGAAGCCAAAGAAGAAAGAGAACAAAAAGAGTAAAGTGAAAGGGCAAAGGGCGCGAGAAAGAGAAAAGGGCTTCCAAAAATCCAAATGGCTATGACACGTGTCGGAAAGGAGGCACGACTGATGACGCATTTAATGAGGCCCATTATGATGAAGCACGACCATCATTACATAACCGTCACCTCCGTTAACACGCCGCCCACGCGTTTTAGAACACGAAGTGACAGTTATGACACATGGCAGAATGACAGACAGGCGTACGCGAAGGGTCACTGTCCCTTGCCGAGCTCGGCATTAACTCCTCAACCCACGGTCTTTGGAGCTCGGGGGGCTAGTGTAGTATCCGTACCGCAAAGTCGAGCTCTAGCTTGGCATCACAGCGTAAATCAACCTCGGACACGCGCTAGGCGATGTCGGTCAAGACAAGGACCACTATCC